AGTTTCCCATCTTGCCTTCCTGGGAGGGGGAGGGGGGACAACAAACCCTCATTATTCCTTTCATTCTCTCAAACTTTTATTCCCCCTTCTTTTCCTCTCCAGTAATCCTGTCTACCTTTCAAAACTTCATTCCACGCCCCTGCCCCGCATTTCCCACTTTTCATTATATCTTCTCCCTTTTGTCCCTACTATCCATCTCTCATGGCCCTTCACTCTCCTCTCTTGTTCTCTTTACTTCCTGCTTTTCACCTGACTTGTCTTCTGCCTCATTCTAACTTCTCTGAACACATTGCCTATGTTCATTGTCTCCAGCCTTTCCTGCTTTTTCCCCAGTTACATCCCTAGAGTGGCCTGTGGTCTGAATCTTACATCTATATTATCCCCTCTTTCCCACAATCACTCTTACTTTCCTTCTCACCATATCACTTCCTGTGCCTCCCAGTGTTACAGTGGCACAACAAATAGGCCTGCCTCTCCCAGAACCTCATCCAATTCCTATGGCTCTCCATCTGAGTCCCCAGTCTGGAATAGACTCCTACCAGAAGTGGTGCAAGCACCTATTCTGGACACTTTTAAGACACATTTGCATGCCTATCTTGTTGGGATTATTTTATCCCAGCAGACTTCCTGCCCTTTGGGCAGGGGGCTGGACCCGGTGATCTTGCAAGTCCCTTCCAGTCCTAATGTCCATGAAATCTATCAATTCACCTCTCTGCTTCCAAAAACCAACCCCCAACTTTACCATAGGTTTCCCATCTGCCCTCCTGCATGTCTTACACACAACCCTCCAGCTTCTTTTCTTCAGCTTTCTGCCTCACAGCCGTCAGGGTCTCCCTTACATTTTGACAGTCCTGTCCCAGATCCCCTTTCACATTATGCCTCTCCTCAAGGCCCTTTCCCACCTGACCTGCTCCCTTCCTCACTTCCCAGGGCCTGCTTCTAGGGCCACCACTGGCCCCAGAAGAATGGGAAAGAGGAGAAAGCTGCCCTTAGCAGATAACTTGGTTTCTTCTCTACCAGGCCAGCCAACAGAGATGGCTTTAGACAGGAGTCTCAGCTGCAGCCTCCTGCCTGCCCCAGCAGTGAATAAAATGACCCAACTGGAAGGATCCTGCAATGCAGTTCCCTTCCCCAGCTGAGCCCCTCAACTCACTGTCTCATTGCCAGCCCAAAAAAAGGAAGTGAGCATGCCCCAGAACTCCTGCTCACCATGCTGCAGTCTCCCCTCCTTTCCTTTCAGCAGACTGAAAATTGGATGTGACAAAGATATGTTTTCTCCTCAAGACTGAAAGTTGGTGGGGGGAGGAGATATATCCCCCTTATCCTCACTAGAATTATACCAGTGGTAACAGGTAATATTAGCTGATTCTATTTATCACTGACTGGTTGGTTGATTATGTTGTACTATGGATAATTATTCTTTTCTGGTCATGACTATTTTAAAAAAAATAATCCAATCAAGCTTTACACAGAATGGGCATGAGTTGCAATGGGATGCCTGGTGGTATAGATGGCAAAAAGAACTGAAAGTGAAAACAGAGAGGGGGAAGGGGAGGGACACAAGTCAGTGTAAATAAAACAGAGGCTATGTATGGTTACATGGTTGCTGAAAGAAAATGCATGTTGGCTTGCATTGTCACAGGTAACGTTATGTCATGGAGTTATAAATAGATTACCAGTTCAGAGGAAGGTACATTCAGGTCGCCTACTGCCTCACATCTTTACACACTGAGCCAGACTTGTAGTCTTTACTACAGCAGATCCCAGAGGATTTACTGCTCTCTAGATTTCTCCTCCCTGTGATCCATGAAAAAAAATGATAAATGCATTTAGCCTCTTCCTCTTTTTCCCTTTTTAATATATGTGTTGTAAAGCTTCCCTTCTAACCCAATCAGGAATGGGCTGCCTATAAAGGGAATAATTAAAAAAAACAGTGCTGGTTTGTCAAGAAATATAAACAAAAAAGAGTGTGAGTGGATGGTTTTCATTAATCCATCTGGCACTGGATAGTTTGAGTTTTGAAAAAAAAATGAAATTGCTTAGCAACCAGTATTAACTTAGTGAGCCAGTGCCAGTGAAATGTGCTAGTGCATTTTTGGGCATTTGGTTTTTCCTTTCTATTTTCTGAGGAAATACAAACTGGGGTCCATGCATTTGGGGACTGGTATTACTGATAAATGTCGTTTGTTTTGGTTTTTTTTTTTTGGGGGGGGGGGTTATTATTATTATAATTTTTTTTTTTTTGTAATTGGATAATGCTGGGTTTAGGGTTTGGCTGGAAAATGTTCATTATTTATTTGTGCAAAAGGTATTTCAAAGGTTATCTACTGATATTTAGGCTGGAAAATGAACCTTCTGTGTAGCTCATTAAAAATTACTTAAACTGCTCCATTTTTTTAAAAGAAGCTTTGGGAGAGTAGCTATCTATTGCTGTGTTGCTGACATTTTAACTTTCATGGAACAGTTACAAGTACAGCATTAAAGCAAAACCAGAAATGCTTAACTTATACTGGCACCTTAAAGTTTGCACCTTTTGCTTATGGCAGCTAAAATGTATATGCTTGGGAATCCAGTGCTACTCACTGCAGATAGCTTACTTGATGTTGGGTGGAAGTATTTCATGTGGAAATAGATCCCAAATTCTTTGTTTCTCCTCTCTATTCACAGCTATGTACAGTTTCTTTATTGCCACACTCTCAAGTACTACTTTTCTGTTATTCAAAGTTAAACAACTACTGCCCTGAATTTGTACCATTGAGTCTAGGGTCAGAGAGTGTTCCAAAGCAAGGTTGAGCATGGGGCGCTGTTCAGCTTCAGGTGGTGCTGAATCAAGTGTCTGTATGCCAGTGAGAAAACCAGGCCTTTTGCAATAATTTGCTCTTTAGAGTAATGGTGGGTTTATATTGTATTTTTGTATTCTTTAAGTCCGTGTGTGCGTGCAAGTGTGTAGGTAGAATGTGTCTATGTATGGGAGGTGGAAGTAAGAAAGGAATGTCATTTCCTTTACTCAGTGATGCAGTCAGGACTAAAGTAATGTTTGGGGAACAGGAAATATTCCCTTCCTTACACACCTACAACTTGCCTCCCATTTAATGCATTTTGTGTCTGCAACTCCTGCTGTTCAGCCACTGCTTACAATGCTGTTTTTCCTGCCAGCTGCTACAAGCCTGGATGCGTTCCTCTTTGATCCAGTCATTGTCTTGTTCTGGGATACTGGCTGGGATAGGTTGTGGCATGCTGCTGAGTTTTTGTTTGTTTGTTTGTTCTGATTTGATTTAGTTGAACTTTAAATCCATTTTCATTGAAGGATCCATATGCTGATGTTGGCAATGTTACATTTCTATACTTTTAAATTAATTTTAACCACTGGTTAGAAACTAACAGTTTTATTTATCTACTTCAGCTGTAAGTTATAATTATACTGTTACTGCTGTTATCTGTATTGTTGGACTGTTGAGAGATTTCACACACAGAGTCAAGTACAAAATATGGGTATTGTAAAGATTTGTTCTGATTTTGGAAAAAAAATGTATAAACAATTAACTAAGGCAACCTTTATCTACTCTTTCATTCAAATTACATTCATAGTTTATTTTTAACTTGGATTTCTTGAATAAATTTTAAATAAAATGTTTATGAGGATTATTTCCAAATAATGATCAATTATAATAATAGGATTTGCAGGTGTATATCTGTCAGGAAACTAACTCCTTTAATTTGGAAGACAGTTTAGGTTTTTTATTCAATTCAGGAAGGCTTCCATAAAATATATACTATTAATAATACTATTATTATAGACAGATTTAAAATTATCTTTTGCATATCTAATATAGTATCAGACCATGTGCAAAGAAATGCTAAATTTGAAAACTATTGCACTGAAAGAATGTGTTGGATGTACAGCATAAGCGTGCTCTCTTTTGATGTACATTTTTTTGAAAAAAGGATTAATACCCTAAATTTTTAGGGAAAATAGTTATTTTGAATGCATCTCTTCCTGGATGCTCAGTTCTAAAGGGGAATAAGTTCTCAGTACTGACTCTTATAAAAGCAGGCCTGTTTAAGGACTCCATTTGGGCATCTGGAAATCAAGGTGTGTCAAATCACTAGGCACTTCTGAAAATTGAGGCCTCCATCTGTTAGGACTGTTCAGTCACATAAAATATCTCTCCCCTTGTGTGCTATGACATCCCTGCAAGG